CTTTATGACAATCTAGAAATCTCTCCTTATAATAATCTAGAAATCTGTCCTTTATGACAATCTATAAATCTCTACTTATAATAATCTAGAAATCTCTCCTTTATGACAATCTAGAAATCTCTCCTTTATAATAATCTAGAAATCTCTCCATTATAATAATCTAGAAATCTCTCCTTTATGACAATCTAGAAATCTCTCCTTTATAATAATCTAGAAATCTCTCCTTTATGACAATCTAGAAATCTCTCCTTTATAATAATCTAGAAATCTCTCCTTATAATAATCTAGAAATCTCTCCTTTGTGACAATCTAGAAATCTTTCCTTATAATAATCTAGAAATCTCTCCTTTATGACAATCCAGAAATCTCTCCTTTATGACAATCTAGAAATCTCTCCTTATAACAATCTAGAAATCTCTCCTTTATGACAATCTAGAAATCTCCCCTTATAACAATCTAGAAATCTCTCCTTTATGACAATCTAGAAATCTCTCCTTTATGACAATCTAGAAATCTCTCCTTTATAATAATCTAGAAATCTCTCCTTTATGACAATCTAGAAACCTCTCCTTTATAACAATCTAGAAACCTCTCCTTTATGACAATCTAGAAAGCTCTCCTTTATAACAATCTAGAAATCTCTCCTTATAATAATCTAGAAATCTCTCCTTATAATAATCTAGAAATCTGTCCTTTATGACAATCTAGAAATCTCTCCTTATAATAATCTAGAAATCTCTCCTTTATGACAATCTAGAAATCTCTCCTTTATAATAATCTAGAAATCTCTCCTTTATGACAATCTAGAAATCTCTCCTTTATAATAATCTAGAAATCTCTCCTTTATGACAATCTAGAAATCTCTCCTTTATAATAATCTAGAAATCTCTCCTTATAATAATCTAGAAATCTCTCCTTTATGACAATCTAGAAATCTCTCCTTATAATAATCTAGAAATCTGTCCTTTATGACAATCTATAAATCTCTCCTTATAATAATCTAGAAATCTCTCCTTTATGACAATCTAGAAATCTCTCCTTTATAATAATCTAGAAATCTCTCCTTTATGACAATCTAGAAATCTCTCCTTTATAATAATCTAGAAATCTCTCCTTTATGACAATCTAGAAATCTCTCCTTATAATAATCTAGAAATCTCTCCTTTGTGACAATCTAGAAATCTTTCCTTATAATAATCTAGAAATCTCTCCTTTATGACAATCCAGAAATCTCTCCTTTATGACAATCTAGAAATCTCTCCTTATAACAATCTAGAAATCTCTCCTTATAACAATCTAGAAATCTCTCCCTTATGACAATCTAGAAATCTCTCCTTTATGACAATCTAGAAATCTCTCCTTTATGACAATCTAGAAATCTCTCCCTTATAATAATCTAGAAATCTCTCTTTATAATAATCTAGAAATCTCTCCTTTATCCTGAACTGTCCCAATAACCAGTTGTGTATCTTCCTGCATGCCCCATTAACCTATTATGTGTTGGTGAGTAAAGTTCCTTGAATTTAGTTCTTCCCCAAGTGCCCCCCTCCCCCTGTCTCATTAACTTATTGTGTACCGGTGAGCAGCACCTTATTAACCTGTTGTCCTATTAACCTGTTGTGTACTGGTGGGAAGTGTCCCATTAACCTGTTGTGTACCGGTGAGCAGCGTCCCATTAACCTGTTGTGTACCGGTGGGAAGTGTCCCATTAACCTGTTGTGTACTGGTGTGCAGTGTCCCATTAACCTGTTGTGTACTGGTGCGCAGTGTCCCATTAACCTGTTGTGTACCGGTGAGCAGTGTCCCATTAACCTGTTGTGTACCAGTGAGCAGCGTCCTATTAACCTGTTGTTTACCAGTGAGCAGCTTCCCATTAACCTGTGGTGTACTGGCGAGCAGCGTCCTATTAACCTGTCGGGTACCGGTGAGCAGTGTCCCATTAACCTGTTGGGTACCGGTGAGCAGCGTCACATTAACCTGTCGTGTACTGGTGAGCAGTGTCCCATTAACCTATTGTGTACCGGTGAGCAGCGTCCCATTAACCTGTTGTGTACCGGTGCGCAGTGTCCCATTAACCTGTTGTGTACGGTGCGCAGTGTCCCATTAACCTGTTGGGTAACGGGGAGCAGTGTCCCATTAACCTGTTGTGTACGGTGAGCAGCGTCCCATTAACCTGTTGTGTACTGGTGAGCAGCGTCCCATTAACCTGTCGTGTACTGGTGAGCAGCGTCCCATTAACCTGTTGTGTACGGTGAGCAGCGTCCCATTAACCTGTTGTGTACGGTGAGCAGCGTCCCATTAACCTGTTGGGTACCGGGGAGCAGTGTCCCATTAACCTGTTGGGTACCGATGAGCAGCGTCCCATTAACCTGTTGTGTACCGGTGAGCAGCGTCCCATTAACCTGTTGTGTACCAGTGAGCAGCGTCCTATTAACCTGTTGTTTACCGGTGAGCAGCTTCCCATTAACCTGTGGTGTACCGGCGAGCAGCGTCCTATTAACCTGTCGGGTACCGGTGAGCAGTGTCCCATTAACCTGTTGGGTACCGGTGAGCAGCGTCCCATTAACCTGTCGTGTACTGGTGAGCAGTGTCCCATTAACCTATTGTATACCGGTGAACAGCGTCCCATTAACCTGTTGTGTACCGGTGCGCAGTGTCCCATTAACCTGTTGTGTACGGTGCACAGTGTCCCATTAACCTGTTGGTTAACGGGGAGCAGTGTCCCATTAACCTGTTGTGTACGGTGAGCAGCGTCCCATTAACCTGTTGTGTACTGGTGAGCAGCGTCCCATTAACCTGTCGTGTACTGGTGAGCAGCGTCCCATTAACCTGTCGTGTACGGTGAGCAGCGTCCCATTAACCTGTTGGGTACCGGGGAGCAGCGTCCCATTAACCTGTTGGGTACCGGGGAGCAGCGTCCCATTAACCTGTTGGGTACCGATGAGCAGCGTCCCCTTAACCTGTTGTGTACCTGTGAGCAGCTTCCCATTAACCTGTTGTGTACCAGTGAGCAGCGTCCTATTAACCTGTTGTTTACCGGTGAGCAGCTTCCCCTTAACCTGTTGTGTACCGGTGAGCAGCGTCCCATTAACCTGTTGTGTACGGTGAGCAGCGTCCCATTAACCTGTTGAGTACCGGTGAGCAGCGTCCCATTAACCTGTCGTGTACCGGTGAGCAGCGTCCCATTAACCTGTCGTGTACCGGTGAGCAGCGTCCCATTAACCTGTTGGGTACCGGGGAGCAGTGTGCCCTCCTCCAGCCCCTCCTCTCCCCCCATGTCGCTGTCACAGTCTCCTGTCCCTCAGTCTGAGCTTTGCCAGCTCTCTGTGTCCTCCTCTGCCGGGCTGCCCCTCCCTGTCAGACTGGTGCCGGTCAGGGGGGCCCCCCGTAGGTGGGTGCTGTTGGTGGCCCTGGGGGTCGCCATGCTGCTGTTGCTGGTCACACTCCTGCCCCTGCTGGCCCCTCGTGGGGGGGCTCACTATGAGATGCTCGGCACTTGCCGAATGATCTGCGACCCCTACAGCGGGCCCCCCCCCAGCCCCGCGGGGGGCCCCCCACCCTTCCTCCAGGGGCCCAAGGGGGAGCCGGGCAGAGCGGGCAAGCCGGGAGAGCGGGGTCCCCCTGGAGAGCCGGGGCCCCCAGGAGCCAGGGGCCCCCCCGGGGAGAGGGGGGAGCCGGGGCGGCCGGGGATGGGGGGCTCAGTCTCTGGGGGTCCCCCGCCCGCCCCCCAGGGGCCCCGGATCGCGTTCTATGTGGGTCTGAAAAGCCCCCACGAGGGGTACGAGCTGCTCCGCTTCGACGACATCGTCACCAACGAGGGGGATCAGTACGACCCCCAGACCGGCAAATTCACCTGCAGCGTCCCCGGCACCTACTACTTCACCTACCACGTGCTAATGCGGGGGGGCGACGGCACCAGCATGTGGGCAGATCTGTGCAGGAACGGACAGGTAACGGGGGGCAGGTAACGGGG